CAATAATAAAAGAAACGCAGAGTTTAATTTTGCCGACGCGTTTCGTATCTTTTACAAGAAAGTACTCTTCAGGACTAGAGATGTATATCTATAATACCGAAAGGAAAGTTCATTGTGTGTATAAGTTTATATGTATAATGGCAATGCCATTTTTGCAAATCTTCTAAAAAAGAAGTATCTATTCATTAAAAGAACGATTTCCTATAGATTATGTTGTATTTGATAATCCACGTGATGCTGATTTATATAATCTACGATTTCTTTTTCAAATCTATTTCTTCAATAATTTTCGCACGCTTCACTCTAAAAAGTCAACACACTAGCATATCAGTTACTACTGATGGACCGATACCCATCAATGCATTTGAGCGTCTTCTATCTGTCTTTTCCAAACAATTCAGTCAACCCATGCACTAACTTGTTTTTGAATAGACGCAACTTTCTATGAATATTAGATACAAGGAAAAATAATTTCAAAAAATAATTTTTTTAGAAATCTCGATTATTTTCACACCGGTTTGGCCCATCAGTATCCTTTGCTTTTCCGTTCTGGATGTGAAGGTTTCCGCTGGCATTCCTGATTTCCTTCTTCCTGCTCCTCTAGGATCATTGTATGTTCCTTGGAGCTTCCTATGACTATGAATTTTCAAGGAAGTTAAGGGTTCAGGGTACTGTTTTTCCGGATGGAATACTGCTTCCACTTCCTATTGCTTTTCCTGCAGGATCCAGCGGGAAAGACTAGGGAATCGGTGGGAAATCACCGGAAAGAAGCCGTTTTCAGACCGCTTACGGAAGGATCTGGAGATCGGAATCATCGACCTGGGGAGTGGAGTTTCTTCTCATCCACCATCAATCACATCGACACACCCCATCCCTAAAGAAAATGTGAAAATTACGAAAACGAAACGGTACAGAGATTTCTAGCGTTTCAAAAACATATTTTGCACTAAACTTGTGCTAAAAAAAACTATCTGTGCGAAAGTCAATTAAGTATCAGTCCATGAGATATTAGATTTATTAGAGATAAATGCAAAATTCCCTTTGTCCAACCTTCGTCACATCCACATTTTGAGAAACTTCATGGTGTTCGTTTTGTGCTGCATCCATGCGTTCATACGTCTTTTGCTACTACTAAATCGCATTTTCGTAGATATTTTGATAAGACATCATTTAATTGAAAGTTGAAAGTTGAAAACTCAGTTAAATTCAAGTTTTAAGTATTTATTATATAGCAGACTAATGATCTGCTTGTAAAATTATTTAATCATTATTATTCTGGAAGCACTGTTTGGAGTGAAAAGGCTAAAAGGCTAAAAAAAAACTGTTGTTTTTTAATTAAAATTATTTGCTGAAATATTCTTCCGGAATGTTGCTATCTTCGTTTCACAATGCATTGCATTTCATCTTGTCTTGTGGCCTTAATCTAAAGAAAGAATTTAATATCGAAAAGCTAACGTCAAAAGGTTTAGAAAATGTTTCACGTGCTTTTTGTTGAGAAAAATGTCAAGAAAAAAAAACTACTCAATTGCCTTAACTAGATGTTTAAGGACACGCAGATTAATAAAAAATAATTCATAAGAAAAATTGTTTTAGGCGGAACGAGTAAATTAACTTTTTCAAAATAAATAGAACCATCTTTCGATATTGAAAACCATTTTATTTTTGAAGCAAATAGTCAAAGAATCACTTATCTTTTTCATTGGTATAAAACATACACTATGCTACTGGCGGATATTGCTTTATTCATTTTACGAGTTGGGCTAATTATATTTATCATATTTGGAACAGTCGGAAATGCACTCAATCTGTTCATTTTCACGTGTCGAACGCTTTCACAATTGTCATGTACATTACATCTTATTGCAGCTTCAATCGACAATACTCTGGTTATTTTCACATCATTATTGACTCGTCTACTTGCCAATGGATTTTCTATTGATAGAACAATCACATCCAATGTTATGTGTAAATTACGATTTTATTTCGGTTATGTATTTTTTGCTCTATCACCCTATTTTTATACTTTGGCTTGTTTTGATCGATACTGTTCAATTTCAACATCAGCTACGCGTCGATCATGGTGTAGTGAAAAACTAGCAAAAAGATTAATTATTGGAGTCATTATTTTGGCTTGCATTTTATATTGTCACATGGCAATGTTCTACGAAATATTTATGAATGGTCCTAGTCTGTGATGTAATGCTCGACAAGGCGTCTATAATTTATTTTATCGAATATTTGATGTAGTGGCTTATTGTATTTTGTCATCTTTTTGTATGGGCTTATTGTGCATCCTTACTCTGATTAATATTCGTGAACAATCACATCGAATCCAACCTATATTAGTACCTACCAGTGATGGTGGCTCTCGTCGTATTGACCGTCATTTAATCCGAATGTTATTTGCACAAATTTTAATACAGCTTCTTTGTATTCTACCATTTGCCATACTTAATCTAATGCCTTTTTTTTTACCGACACATGTACAACTTTATATTCATTTTCCAATCAAATTTTTACTTTACCATTATTTATTAGTTACACAACAAGTTTTTATATTTTTACACTATCACCTCGTATTTATCGTCGAGAATTACTTAAATTTCTATGAAATCGACAAATAAGAGAAGCTACAACGGAATACAGTTTAAGAACCATAACGCGTGGTTCAAATATTCAAACACGACAGAAAAATTATAACAGTGATAGTGCGAATTAGAAAGAAGAGTTTTAGTGAATACATTTAAAAAACATTGAACCCACGACCCTTGCTTATTGTATATATCTTAGTTTGTAATCAATATTGTAAAATAAAACATACAATAAAATCTCTATATATATATGGGGATCTCTCGATAATGGGTATCTCTTGAGTGTATGCGAATGTTCTAAACAGCAATGGTTACAGCCACTTTTTCTTGGTATCTTTTGTTTTGATGCTATGGTATATCATCAGATCAACATTTCTGCTCAATGAAGTATGAAAACACGAGCAGAATTTTTATGGTGAACGGAAAGCTTTAGTCATTCCTCGGCTTCACTCTCAAGATAGACTGTTAGACGTTTCCTAATAAGATAATGAAGATCCCGTTTAAATCGTGAATGATCCTGAATAAGGACATGGAAGTTTCTCAAATATGAACCAGATTTGAGTGTGCAGAAGCATTATTGAAAGCACGAAAGAGATGATTCAGATCAGTAGTGTTTTGTTTCTTTGATCTTTGAAACAACAGTTTAGATCTTTTCCTTCTTCGATATTTCATCAATAGTAAGACATACAAAGTGACGATAAGCCCTTGTAGAGCATACAATAATAGATAAATATATTTGAAAATTGAAAATCGCCGAAACAATTCAATACCGACATCATCATACTACTACCTAAGAAAGATGATAGAACAATCATGGTCAACTACAGCGGCATCAGCCCCATGCCAGTCTTTGTTAAAACATCTAATCGAATCCTCCTAAAAAGAATACGAAAATTACTCGACTTAATAATTCGACTGAATCAAACAAGTTTTTAGAAAAGGAAGGAGCTGCTTTGATCAGATACATGTCATTCGTACACTTCTCGAAGGTGCAGTCGACAAACAACTGTCATCTTCATCACATTCACCGATTTAAAAGAAAACTTTGATTCAATCAACAGGAATTATTGTAATATTTGACATCGTATCAAACAAAAAAGGAGAACATGGTTTTATAACTAACATGCGATAATCCAGTCTACAAATCAACACCTAGAAAACACAAGCTATGACCTACCAACACATATACAACGAATCTATAGAGCTCGATGGACAGAGTATTGATTGAATCGACAACTCCGTTTTATTGGACATCGTCTACACAGAAACATCAGTGAATTTACCAACATGTATGCTCTCCATACAATCAACCCGATCATAGCAAACACAGGAGGGTGTCGATATTGGGGCTCCGTACTGAATAAGACTTCACAATCATTCAGACACCCGTTTCGAATAAATAGCAGTATTATAATAGAGCTATCTTGTGAATGCTCGTGTTTGTAGATGAGTTTGACAAGAAGACACAGATCAACAGTTATCATGTAATCAATTTTCATTTGATTATTTTTCATAGTTGACAATGATTTTCTCGTACGTTCTTTATTTCGAATATAACAGTATATTAAAAAAAGAAAACTTAAATACCCAATCGAAGATAGCCTACAGTGGCAAGTGGAGAACTTTGATTGTGACAAGAAGATTGCTTACCAATATTCAATGAATAAATATTTCGTTGTTTTAAAGATGCAAACACTGTAAAACGACCAAATCTACTTTTTGTAGTAATTATATGTTGTTCACATAAACTAAAAAGAAAACTATCAAATATTCCTAATTGAAAAGCTAACATTGAATTATTTGTATGTGATATATGTAAAACTGGATTGGAATTGGCTAAAATTTGAAGATGGTCATTGTTTGATGGACATTTATTTTTCGACAATCGAAAGCATTCGAATGGAAGTTTCCAACGTTTTAAAGCAGTTTGACGTATTCGAATATCATCAGATAAAAGAAAAATAATGGGAATTTGATTTGTTCTACGAAACAAATTTTCATTCATATAAATTAAATCTTGTGAGCATGTAAAAAAGTTATTAAATTTCTCGAAATTGATTTTTTCATGAGAAATAGAATTTGCGTGAATCATAGTTTTATCGCCAACACGAATTTGAATTCCAATTGGAAAAAATCTCGGTGATAAAAGTGCTTGTAAAATTTGTTGAGACGAATGACCTAATTGTTTATTTAAAGAATTTGATGGAAATCGTTTAATCGATTGAGATAAACGATAAGTGAAAATCGAATTATAAAGACATCCAAAAATATTTTCCGTATTCATTTCAAGATCAATAGTTAAAAATTTTCTATAGATACTTGAATTGGATGCAATTGTATGTATAACACCGCCTGTATGACCTTTAAATATAAGAATACGTTCAGGAAAATCTTTTTCATAATCATAATCTTGTTTATATCGCTCAGTTAAAAATCGATGGGCTTTTACTGTTAAATTATTTTGAATAGTTAACGATAAGTTTTTCTTAATTGAATTCAATTGAGCAAACCAAGGAATCACAGTATGTGGTTGATAATTTAAACTTGATTGTATAACATCAATAAATTCTGGCCAATTTGTATCAAATATCAATAATCGATTTGTTAATAAAGCTACTAAATAAGTTGTAATGAAATGAATCATTCGATCAGCAATGCCCGTTGTCGATTTTTTATATATCAAAAAACGAACATCAAGTTCAATTATACGTTGAAATTGTTCTTCGAATGTCGTGGATCGATTACTAATATTTAAACTAATATTTTCATGCCATTTTTGATAGTTTAAAATCCAATTTTGAAATTTTTGTGGACATACTTGATTATTCTTCGCAATCTCAAATGGAGCTAGACGTCTTGATTTTGTGGGCAAATTATTTGTATCAAAAACTTTTCTATTAATCGACGCTCCATATTGTAAATCCAGCCAATATGAAACAGCTTCCTGTTCTCTAATAAATAATTCTCGTGAAGTTGAATGAGTTAAAATATTGACAGAAGAACATTGAAAGAAAATCGAAGGTAATGTTGAAGATTGCCTTTGATTTCGATTTAAATAAGATTTTAAGCATGACGTTTTTAATGGCCATTGAGACCAACGAAATAATTTTTCACGATCAAAACCCCGCCATTGATAAGTAAAGCGGAATTTATCCTCGGCCAAAAACATTTCATGAATATCAAGAGATATAATATCAGATGTATTTGTTAATGACAATGAGCAACTTGAATTGTGAGATAAAAAAGTGAAACTTACTTCTTTCAAATTAAAGATATTGACGCGAAAATTCAAATAAATATGGCAAATTGGATAAAAGTCTTTCATAGCTTTCGAACTTTTCAAACAGGTTATTTTAACATGATCAATTTTCTTTTTGGAATCACTTTTTAAATAATTCAAATAATCTTTTATCATAGATGTGAAATTTAATTTTAATGATACATAATGATTATGAAACATTGGGTGAAATGAACTTTTCTCTCTATGAGATAATGCTTCTTCGTATAATGAAAGTAATCCAGTCGCGGGTCTTTTTATCCGTACTGGTGCGCTTTGAGACGATGCGCCACCGTGCCATTGTACTTTTGAATCATTATGAAAAATAAATAAAAAAGTTAAAATAAATATAAACAAACCGATAATACGTTGAATTTTTGTTAATAGATATAATATCTTCTTTATTCTTATCATTCAAAATTGTTTTAACATTGATAAATAATACAATATAATCAAAAAATCTGAAAATTTATTTTATAGAACATTATTTGAAAATCATTAACTTGATTGTTTAGAAAACAATACCTATTTTGAAACAAAGTAATAGAATGTTGTATTAGGTAATCCAGAGTAGATTTTTCGAAGCTCGTTGGCTGAGATAAACGAAACAAACATTGAAATACCTGCTTTTTTTTTATCTACTTAGCTCAGTACCCAATGAATAAAAATAATGCCGAACTATGATGACAGACAATGAAAAACAATGTCACTTTATATGATGAAACTGACACCATGTTTGATAGTATTTTAAAATCGTTGATGAATGTCAGAAGCAAAATTAGTGAGATTTTTGAAATTTATATGAATTCTATGTTATGAAAATGATTCAACATGCACGAGATAGTCGTCATGAGGCTGGTGTGAGTCTGAGTGCAGTCGCGAAGTGTCTCTGAAGAGAAAATCCGCAAACCAAGATCGAAACGCACACAGAGAACGTCGAACTGTCTAATTGATTTTTTAAGATTACGTGTTACTAATACGGAAGAATAGATTTTAGCCACACTTTAGAAATGTACCGTATGTATCGCACATTCATTTGCTGAACAGAATATCTCACAGTGAGCGCTATGCGTTCTATTTTCATGGGTCATACGTTGTATCACCAATTACGATACAATTTCTCTGTGTGTGAAATATGACAAAACAAAAAATATTCCTTCTGTATTTGCATCGTATCACTTACCATTTGCACTTTATTAATATCAAGCTTAGTATGAAAATGAAGTCAATTGTTTTTGATCCACAATTTATAAATCATCAGTTCTAGATCTACAGCACATTAATTTGGCGACCACCCCATAGCTCGAAAAAAGAAATAATGATTACATTTTGTAGAGTTTTTCTAATACATATTTACGCCAAATAATTAAGGTTTTGAAATTGAGAAAGTCGTGAAAAGATGTCGGTATCGGCTGTTAACATTCAATTCCAGTCTCTAGTAAACCTATTTCGCTAGCTTGGGATGTGTTTAGTAATTATCACATTAATATTTCATGTCAGCAACGAGAATCATCAGATGGTCTCGTTTTAATTCAATTTCAATTAAAAAAAAAGAACCAAAACAAAGTTAACTCTAAACTCTTGAAGATTTTGGAACGCCGATCATGATATCACAGTAATTGTGTTATCACAAACTAATAACTATAAATATATTGAGCACAAACGCATGATTCATGAACCTGATATCATTCAAATCAGTTATCATTGAAATTGTACAGCCCTACAGAACTGTCTACTAAAAATCGAGTTAAGAGATTTTTTCTGATACATTTAAGCTATAATTATCAAGTTGAAACAATATTTCTAACCTACCTGATGATGAATATTTAAGCAATAGTCGAAACGTGTCGTATGGAGCTTGAAGTATTTTTTTATCAAGGCTACTTTTTATGTGTATAGTAATTAAATTTGATCAGCTGATGGATTGAAACGAAAATTTTTCAGAGTTACAATGATAGTCGAAACAATGAGACTGTTCTAGACCGTACAATAATGTTTACAAGAATGCGAATCCACAAAAAAAAGTTAAAATACTATCTTTTTTTTTTTATTGTGTATAGATTTTTTTGGAGCTCAATATTTTGTTTTCATCTGAAATTCGATTGCCATCTAGTTATAAATAAATGTCATTTTCATTGGTAGCTTAAATAGATTTTTATTCATTCAAAAAAAGACTCATACTATAAGACATTTTCTTTCCTTTTAATTGAAAGTACAATAAGTTAATAATATGTCTATTTTTTACGATGTTGCCATTTTTGATAGATACGTTCAGCTTGATCTTCATTCACAGCTGTATTTTCCGTCACATCATAGTTGATATCTACTTCTGCTCTAGCAACTGGTGGTACACCATCGATACCAGAAGTTTCTGTAGTAGTAACAAAAGAAAATGAAGCAGGTGTGTGTGTCGTCACAGAGGGCGTACCAAATAAATTAGGCGTGGCTGGATGTGGAGCAGTACCAAATGTAAATGGAGACGGTGCGACCGGTGGTGGAGCAGCTGAAACTGTACCAAATGTAAATGAAGACGGTGCGACCGGTGGTGGAGCAGCTGAAACTGTACCAAATGTAAATGGTGGCAACGCGGACGGAGGTATACCAAATCCACATGGATGAGGTGCGGGCGGAGGCGGGCCAGGTTCAAATAGAGTAGATGCAGTTGTCGGTGCAGCAGCTGGTGATGTTGATAAGAATGCATGCTGCATTTGAGCCATATTCTGACACGTTGAAGAATATGCCTTAGCTGCAAAGGAGGTCGTTCCAAAGGCATTTGTCATAGTTGTCGAGCAAAGATTTTTCGTTGCAAAAATATTGTTGATTCGTTTAACTTTTTCTTTATCATCAGCACCTTCTGCTGCTGCTCGTTGCATTTCACGATTAATATCTTCTTCAGCAGCTTGCATTAACCGATCCAAAGAAATCTCTTCACGTACACCACCAATGATAACTTTAGCTAAGAGTTTAGCATTAACCATGGGAACATATTGACCACCTGTAGTATAAGCCAATGACATGAAAAAATCACGATAAGGCGCTAGAAAAATAAGAATAAGCAATAAGAACATATGAATATCTCTCGAACTAGTCAATCACTTACTAATAGGAGGTTCAACGCCAACTGAGTACAGGGTAATGTGTTTTTCTACCATTTCTCGAACAATTTGCACAGGATCGAGACCATCAGGGCATCCATTGGGAAAACCATCACCACTCGGGTTGAGTCCATGGGGTGGAGCATCGGCAATCAAAATACAAATTTTTGTTGATTCAGTACGCCATGATAGTTTAAGAACAGCATGTAGTCCATCAGCCACAGCCTCTGGTGCATCTCCACCTCCATTTGCTTGACATTGTTGTAGCCAACCTTTCATCTCGCTAACTTTAGCAGTAAAATCATGTACACGAGTGACGAAAGTATGATCCTAAATAGAACAAAAAGTGTCGAGTCAAACATTGTTCTTTGAAATTTTATGCTTATACTTGAGGTGGATGATCACGATACTCAACAAGCGCCAAACGAATATCACTTTTTTCACTAACGACAATTTCTTCAACAATTGAACGTATATTACTTGTAGCACTCTCAATATACGATGACATCGATCCAGTACAGTCCATGACAAAGACTAGATCTGTACACAGAAAATAATCATTAAAATAATTGCTGTACACCCTGAAATGGCTACTCACCCAGAATCGACGATTCGTGTTTAGCTAATTCCGGTCGAGCAACTTTCTCCATCACAATTGCACTGGCCATGTTTGAATGTATTCGAGTGGTGATGATTACTTATTCAAGCGAAAATGATGAAAACTCTTATGATGATTTTATGTAGGTAGTTTTATAGGTTGTTGTTTTTCTTCTTTTCTTGCAAGCAACTTTGTAAATTTATCATGGTTCTGACACATTGGCAAGTAAGAAAAAACCTGAGTCACTTTTTTTGTCACACATAGATTGGAGAATGACTATACGTAAAGAACAGAACAATGATTATTGCGACAAAATAGAGAAATTTGAGTCATCTCAGCCAGGCTGGGATGGCTTTTTTCAAGGTGCCAATCATGCAAATAAACTGGAAGATTTAATTCAAACGATATCAGTGTAGCGAATTTAAATTAAATAAAGAATATGCTCTATGTGTGAAGTCTGAATATAGAATGATATGTCTTTTTGTATTTTTAATTGCACTGTAGCTACATTTTACTATAAAATAGCATCATCTTAGGGACTCATAAAACAAATATCATATATTAAATTATATTACTACTATTCTGTTGAAAAATCATCACATCCATAATGAGGTGTAACTTAATAAAAGACATGCCTCAGTATTTGTATCATCTATGTACAAACAAGTAATTCAATTATTTTTATGAATGTATTCAGTAAATTTGAGCGTGAGAATGATACTTTTTTTTCATTTACGTACCCTCACTCTCGCCCTCAAAAACAATTTATTTCTACGAAACCTAACATATGAACGCGAGAATTGATATTGCAGCAAGATTTCTGGGCGCTCGTTAAGGATAGACAGTTATTTTGAAAAACGAGATTTGCAGAGTTTTCCATCTAGTCACTGGTGGTATTTTGATTAAACATGTGCTCATTCAAATTGCAAGTCTTATTGAGGGAATGTGCATTGTTTTATGGATCTTGTATCGAATATCATACACACCCACACCCTCCTATTAGTATATATTTAAAATGAATATAGTCACGCTGTATTACGCATTAGAGAGATTATTAACATTATTACGGAAACCGGTAATAGAATCATGCTGCCTGTACGACCTGGTGGTGTACCAGTGGTAATCGTAGGTTTCAAGTGCCCGATTGAAATTCGTACAAGTTGTTCTATGAGCACTTCGCCGATCATAAGTGGAACAAATTCTCGGTAGCGCCAAAGTATAATCCATATAAAAAAAGCCATGATGAGTTGCATACCTCCCCATTGACCAAAGATTGCGACAATATTTTGACTGCCACTAACATTTAAATTCATTGTCGCGATGGATTGTGCACCACCATCATGAAAGAACATGTGAATAAGACTTCTTATCGTACCTATTGTATTGATAATCACCAAAAACCAAACTGCAAGAGTTGGTCCTGCATAATTATTACATGGTGCAGGTAAGAGCATAGAGAAGTCGATTATTGTATTCATTATTATTCCTTTTCTATTTGTAAGAGATATGTATTTGACTGTAATTTTGCAATAAGAATACGAAAAGGCAATATGTATCTAGAACATCAGTGAGAGACGAATGGAAATAAACCGAATGAATAATGTTAAATCCTATGAAAAGATTCGAAGATCTAATAGAAAACAGTCAGTAAACAAATTATTAAATGCTGCTCAAATTAAGACACTAGTTTTATAAGATGATTCGCGAGATATGTATATCTTATTGCAGAGAGTGGAAAATTTGTCCAAGTCTAACCATCGTTCTAGACTGCGCATGCTTGTTTTAGCAAGAAAATATATACCTCTATAAATATTAATATTATTTATCAGTATACAACCAGTTTTATAACTTAACGTGAAGCTGAAAACTTGAATACTTTTGTTTATTATACACGGATATTTGTGTTCTTTGCAAAAAATACATATTAAGATTGAAAAGAAAAGGCTCATCTCATAAGAGATATTGATGTTGCCCGATGTAATTTTTCTACAGATAATGCAAAGGGATGGTTTACTATCAAAAAGAATTAATTTGTCTAGAAAACGTCAATACTTTGCTCTTTGTGAATTGCCGATAAATATATCTGCTTTGGAAAACTACTGCTACACTTGACTATCAAAAATTCAGCGGCTTTATTTTTCAACTTTTACATTATAAAGAGATATAGATTGTAAGACACGCTGTTTACCTGATGAATGACATATAAGGACTACATCTGTTTCTATGAATTTTTCATAATCAAAGTAGCATTTTTACGCAAGAAAAATCAACTTAATTGTTTTCTAGTTTCTCATTTCTCAACTCTTTTCAAGAACTAATTTTGTTTCGAAAGTCAATCCTTATTCGGAAAACCAAGTACCAGTGAAAACATAAAAATATATGAATAAATCAAATATTTTCGTGTTCTTATATCGTAGTTCATTCATATGGTAAAGAATATATACAACTATTCAGTTTAGAAGCCTATTTTTTAGAAACATCTATATAGATAGTGCCCCCATCTATAATTCATCATGTCGCTGAGCTCACGAATGATCTTCAGTACAGTTTGCCTCGAATTTATACTCCTTAATAATATCAAAGAAAATTCAAAACAGAATATTTCAGCGAAAAACGAGGTTAAATTTTCGATACGGGAGTCCTCACAAAAATAGTTATGCGTTGTTTGTTTGAACGTCATTATAATCTATAAATGGTCTATTCGTCAATTCGATTTTTTTTCTGGCAAGTTAAAAACTAGATCGAGAGGTCTTCACAGGTTTCATTTCAAATACATATAAGACAATTAAACTTCAATCTAAATTCAATGCATTATAAAAATGGTCGAAAAACGAATGTTTAGTTAAAAACTTTTGAAGGTGTCGCTATGATACTTACCTAATTTCACGGCTATAAGACGACTGATGTGAAGTAAAATAATTTTGCTACTTATCTTGTATGTGTGGACAGGGGCCGCGCGAAGGACCTAAGATGGGGGATGTAAATGGATATTTTCAACAAAGCGTAACAAAAAAAAAAACAGAAAATTTACCATTGTTAATGGGGTGTGTGGGCGAAGATCTTCTCTTCACCCACACACACTGAAAAAAAGGTATCATACAAAACTAAAAAAGGGTTTCGAGATTTGAAACGAATTCTGAACCATTTTTTAGTTTCGCACGAAAAAGGTTTCATATAAGACTATTATTTTTTTAGCTTAAAAAGGATTTCGTAGCCGATGCTTTGTATGGCGTGTCGTATGATATCGGCCAAACATAAATATACTGTCAATTTGTTTTCTACAGAGCTCTCCCAATGTATATCCACCAAGGGAGAACAAGCGGACTTAGGTACTTCCGAAGTACAAAAGTACGGAAAAGTACCAAGAAGTACCAAGAAGTACTGAAAAGTACAAGAAGTACAGAAGTCCGCTTGTTCCCCCTTGATATCCACACTTGAGAGACGCATCTGTCCTATTGAAGGCATATCTAACCCTGTATTTATCCATTAACCCCTTAATTCTATATCTAATTCCTTAATTCTATCCTTAACCCTTAATTCTATACCTAATTCCTTATTTCTATACCTAATTCCTTATTTCTATCCTTAACCCCTTAATTCTATACCTAATTCATTAATTCTACATCTAATTCCTTATTTCTATCCTTAACACTTAATTCTATCCTTAATCCCTTAGTTCTATACCTTACTACTTAATTCTGTCTAGTTTCTTAAAGATGTTGTTTCCCGATAAACCCTTAGCAGGTTTCCGAGCTCAACAAAACGAAAACCCAACATGAAACTTGAAATAAATCGACAGCTAATAGAGATTTCCCTATCATGCCATGTGCCGTAAGACCACGAACACGACATATGTCGCTATCTCTCGAATATTCACATGACACGTAACCATTCGACGAGATCCATTTGAATAATCTAAAACAAAAGAAGAATTGATTTGAATTTTCGATTCTCTAATATAACTCACCAATTAGATGAAATCCATTTGAAGAATCTAAAATAGAAAAAGAAATTTTAATGTTAGGTTTTCATTCTTGAATGTTACTTACCATTCACAGGAAAACCACTTAAACAATCTAAAACACAAGGAAAAATAGTCATAAGTTTTTAGTTCTCGAATATAACTTATCAATTGGGTGCAATTCATGTGAAGAAGATTAAAGAGAAAAAGAAATTTTGGCACTATTCTTCAATGTATCTTACCCTTTGAATGAAATCCATTTGTAGAGTCCAAAAGAGAAGTACAATTAATTTTTATTTCTATCAATTCATCCCTTGATTTTTAGGGCAAAATCAGTCATATCGAGAACCTATGGATTTTCGAGCCTTTATAAACAAAGAATTTACGCTTGGAAACTCTTCAAGTGTTGATAAATAATCACGAAAACCTCTATAGGTTTACAAAACGGTCTCTGAGAGAGCTTCAGTTTTCTATCAAACGATTATTATTAAAAAGTAATTCCTTATTTCCTTCCTTACCTCTTCTGCATTTAGGTAAACCGTCATTTCTAGCTTTAAACCGAAAAATTCTATATTTAGCCTCTAAACTGTATACTCAGTGTCTTCTGTTTACCGTGATCCGGCATTTCTATCCTTCATCTCTAAACTCGACATCGAACTCCTTCTTTCTATATCCACTCTTCTAAAAATGGATATAAATTCTTATGACCATATCTAAGCTATTATATGCTTATGTTACACTTTTTTCTACGACAATCCTTTCAAAACTATATCCAACTACTCATAAATATGTCGAACTCGTTACACCTATATCTATTCCCTTTCATCTGTTTTTAATGACTTATAACTATGTCAATGCCCTTATTTCTATATGTCACTTGTGAGAACTATTGATCATCACGTATATCTATATCCAAATTCTCATAACTCTGTCTAAATTCTAAGCTCTATCTACAGTGGGCATGTGGACTTAGAATTAATATAAAAAAAGCTGTTAAAAGTTTTGTATTTGACTATGAAGAGATAATATAATGCTCTTGTATTTGTGTTAAAGCAATAACTCAACACTTCAGCATTCGTGGCAGTTTAGCATTAGTATAATACAAACATTTATCTTTTCAATATTAGCTATTGGTATATATATGTATTCAGTTGAAGTCTGAAAACAAACAAGAATTGTTTTGTTAAAGCGACATCGATCGTCTAATCTCCTCTACGAATTATTTGAACACTTTATACTTATGTAAGTCTGAAAACTTATATTTATTTGAAACCATGTATGCATGTCGAATCATCTATATCCATCGTTAACTTCATATATATTCTTAAGCTCTCAATATCTATTCAGATCCGCTTTAATTAATGTGCATCTCTTATGTATGTGTCTATCCTCCGATGTCTTTTTGTGTGCTTGTGTATCTTGCGATTGTCTAAGTTAAATCCGAAATGATATGTATCATTTTTTTCTAAACCAATAAGATTTCTAGCTAGAAAAAATGACAAGCAATTAATCGTTTTATTATATTAAAGAGTCTGCGGTTTGAATAATCAACGATTTAAAATATTAGGGGCCGTGAAAACTGGAATAAAACTAAGGTGTGTAGTAATGCATGAAATGGGAGCATACAATAATGTTGGAGGCATAGACAGTATTCTTTTACGAGGTAAATGTTTAAGTTCATTGCCTTATTAGCGAAGGCATTCTGTATTTTTTCTAGAAAGAGGTCGTCAATAAAATGTGTGAGTTCAAAAAGACAGTTATACAATATTGAAACTGGATTACTAATGACTGATAAGTATGTAAACGAATGAAATAATCGAGGCTGGACAATTTTCTGATAAGTCAGCATCTCTCAGCAGCATAAATGTACAGGGGAAAAAGTATCATACGAAACCTTTTGACAACGAAACCTTTTGACAACGAAACCTTTAAGAGATCTCCTACGAAACCATTTCACCTACCAAAAATAAAAAGATTTTTTTACACAACCCCTTTGATTACTAAACCTTAAAATAGCTTCGTGGACTGCTGCAATATCTAATAGTGTACAGTAAAGCTCAACGAAACCTCAAAAGATTCGTGTGACACCATTTTGTTTTTCAGTGCACCCACCCACACACCCATACCCAAAGAGTAGTGCTTGCTGACGATTATTACTCATAAATATAACGTCATTCAGAGCTAAAAACAGCGCATTCATTTTGATATTATCATTATTTTTATTCACGGTGACGAGCTTGGAAAAAATAAATTCCGTGCATAAACACAACGAAAGACTACCTCAATCATCGATTTTTTCCTACAGGTATACATTCATCGAAAGTAATTACTAATTTTTGTTTCGTTATTACATTCTGTTCTGTTTCAATTTCTGTCATAGTACATGCTTTCTCTTGTTGGTAGTTTTTTGAGCAAAAAAATAATAAACTGATCAAAAGTATTATGCTACATCATCTGAAAGGATGATTTTGACTAGATCGTATCAAGTTTGTTATTATAATTTCATCGAAACGTAGTGACTAATTCTTAATTAATATGATTGCGACTATTTAAGCGAGATCGGAAGGATCATTATTTATTTATTTTGAACTCGTCTATGTAGATTCATCTTTGACATTTCCGAATGTGTCTCGACACTTTTTGTTGGTAAGTGAACAAGAAAATGTATTATAACTCAAAATCTAGATTTTACTCGTTATTGGCAATCTTATTCACCTGCTCACGCCCAAGATGGATTTTTGAATATTGTAACATAGCTGATGACTAGAACTGAACCCGATTAGAATCATATTATAGCCGTAATTAACGTACACTCTCCCCCATTTTTGGAAGCCACGACTTTCTATTATGATTCAATAAATCGTTCTTTTTTGGTGGCGTGGGTGTGGGTGTGGATGTGGCTAACTTTTTCTATACGTCCACACCTGCACAAGTACCACATCCAAATCAAATCTCATGATTAGTAAGAATTTTCCGGCTGATGTAGAGATCGAGTACACCGGTTGAGCTAGGACAGATATTAGTTTTCTCAGAGTGCTCGGTATAATATAATGAAAAAATTCATAAAGGCCTGATGCGCAGTGGACTGGGGGATTAGGTAGAAGCCACTAGGCGCGACTCACGAGGTATTAACATTTCTGGCTTCCCTCATTTCTGATACTCAACACGGCCAATTAGTTATAATCAAAGTGTTCAAAGTAATTTGAAGGACATACTACTGTTGACTTCCTCTAAATTTCTTTCATGTCAGTTTCTTTTCTTTCGAATGCTACTCGTGTTGCTATTGCTTTATTAAAAATGTTTTTTTGTTCTGTTTCGTTTTTTTCTTTTTGTTTAAATGTTTTTCCTACATTCATAAGGACTGTAGATAACAAAAGTAAAATATTCACAGGATGGGTGTAAGTGTGGGTGTGCGTCGGTACAGGTTGCACACATACCCACGCTCTCACCCTATTTCATACTATTTTGATAGCTCCTACAATATGTAATGAAGTTCTGTGTACTTTAAATGTATATCTTCATATAGCCCACAATTAAAGCATTTTTCTCGTTTACTGTAACATATATAAACGTCACTTGTCATACTTCTTTGATATCTCAAATTAAAAATAAGAGCTGTCGTAAAGTCTCAGAGCAATATATATTTCTTTTGTTGCACACTAATATATCGAGAGTGATAAGAGGCTCCACACACAGAATCCTCCAAAATAGTATCATTAAAAGAAAACGAAGGTCTTCGCACTACGGCCTTCTAAAGTGAATCTATTCTATTACAAGTTCTAATTGTTCTTGTGATAATGATGATTTATCTTGTTTTATATCTCACTATAGATATTCAGAATAGATTAGTCATGCGATGAGTTCTTCAACAGGCACGAAATCACAATCGTGGCAGCTTCGTCATATTGACAAGAATAACTAATAAACACGAATATCCTGATCGCTGGTGGAATTATAGCTAGAATCACGCACACATACGTATCTATAGATTTAATATATTAAGTTACAAACGAAAAGCTGATAAAGGTGTTTTATCAACTAATTTTACAGTGGTCGAGCAATTGAGGATCAAAAACTTAGTACAAAAGATGTCGTCATATGACATCAACAGAAGATCGATCAATAAAGCTTGAGTATGTAACATTGAATTCATGAGAAAACGAACGATCTATATGGACGTTTTTATATTATTCATATGCGTTTCTTGGCTAGAAACTAGGCTTAATGTCGGTTCAAAATTATTTATGAAATGTAGAAAAATGAGTCTATCCAATATATTATGACGTAACAGTTGATGACAATGCTATGACAATAAATAAAGTAGTTCAATATATTCAAATCAAAAATTCTATTGTTTAAATTAATCAGTGTACTTAAATCATAACAGTGCAATTCAATATATGGTCACTGTTTTCTTCAAACAATTTCGTCTAATACAAACTCTGATGTGTTGACATCATTAATTCGTCTATATTGTTTAACAATTGTAAAGAGTTCCAGATTTTGTAACCAACGATCCCACATACAAATATCTCCAAGAGAACGCCCACGAGTATCACTAGATCCGAAGTGTAGCTCTGCAACATTACATAGACTCCAGCACTTAGCGTTGATACATAAAACTCCATTCACCGATAGAGTTTGCTCATAAAGCCAAGTAAATCCCGATTTCTGCCTGAAACATAAATGATACCATTCATTTGCTTTTAGTTCAACGGGTACCAAAGTCGATGCAGACCCACGATTATGTGTATTCAGAGCAAACTCGCTATGCTCATTTAAACAAATATCAATGCTCGATGTGTAACCGTTGTGTTTTTCAAGTACTTCACATATAACTGTAGGCACTTGATGATCTTTAAAATCAAAAAATAAATACTGTTTTCCCAAGAAATCGAAATAAGTCTAGTGTGTTTATAGCACTTACAGTTTTCATGCATCATAAACCAAAATGAAACTGTATAATTTCGACCTGCTGGTCGTACACGAACTCGTGGGTTCATTTTTGTTTTCACAGCATTGTCAAATATATTTTTATCATTGCTAATTGGCGATAAGCTTGTCTGGTGTAAAAGAGAAAACCGGTTCAAATTGAATGGTGACGACAAGCTAAACTCATCTTCCTCGATAGTAAGCGTAATTCGCTTCATTTCGAGTCTATTCTGTGTAAAAATAAACTTTTCTAATATAGATCGGTTGAAGAGTAGCTGTCTCCAAAGATGGCATGTACAGGACGCCATTAATATATTCGAAGAATTCTCTGAGTTTTGACAAAATAAATACAAAATTTTTTGTAAAATTTCATAAGGAAAGATTGTACATTAATATTTGCTTCTACTAGCGATGAAGAAGACATGGTTTGATGTGACAGTAGAGTAGCAAGCGAATAATAAACAATACAGGTTGTGAATTAAACTAAAACATGAAAAAATACTTTTACTTTTTAGTTGCAAACACAATGTCAACATTTTATTTCGAACAAAAGATGTTATACGGCGTGTGTTTATCACTCGAAAGAACGAACACAAAGAAAAGAAAATGAATCTCGACTGGGAATCGAACCCAGGTAGTATCCATGGATGTAACGGTGACGATAACCGGTCTTATCGGTAACCGGCTGTTAACGGTAACCGGTACATTTGGATGTGTGACGGATTGTGTTGCTGGCACAAAGCACAGATGTAAATAATACTATTGTAAATGAAAATTAGTTCTTATAGTTATGTAATACGATATAACTGAAATTTTCAGTGTTTAAATTCATCGATGAATAGTTCTCTCTCCGATGCTACTTTTAATTCTTTACTTGATCTATTACTCTGCTTCCAATTCAGTTTTACTCTGACTCTTAAAAGGGTTATTTTTCACATAGTATGTGTTTGAAAATTGTTTAAGTTTAATAATAACACAAACACTGTGAAAACATAAATATACGTGCGGTTTGCAAGATATTTTTCATTTCGATAAACACACATAGTACTATTTCCAGTTCGGATACTCAAATTATATACATTTTTCAGCAACATTAAACTTCAATTCCCATGTATAAATTATCTAGACAATTTTAAACAAAAACTTTAAAACTAAAAATTAGCGATCTTTAAAATGTATATTCTGACTTATTCGGAGTCGTATGAAAACTACAACATGGAATAAGAGAATCATAGTACTGGCAATCTTGTATATTATCAAAGTTTGATGATTTTGTAACAACTTAAAATTCTTTATCGGCATTGAAATTCAGAATGGTTGTGCAACACGATCGTCCTTAGCATAAAAGTGGGAGTCCACTGTGACGTTCTATGACGAGATTGTCCATACATCACTCTTTATCTTCTGACTTTTCCTCTTCAACATATATCTTGTCGTTCATATGTTTATAACTAAGATTAGCTTGTTGCTTATTCTGTTGACCGGAACACATAAATCATCTTCCGTGATTATCCTTTCTGTTATTCTCATCGTTCTTTTGTTATGTCTACCTTTTCTCTTTCTGTATCTTTCCCTCTCTCTCTCTCTCTCTCTCTCTCTCGGCTGCGTATATAAACGCGTGTTGTGGATGTAAACGATGCGATTTATGATATGAAGAAGCTAAATAAAGTGTAATACCATCAGCACTGGCATCTCTTCTATCTAAATTCGTCACATCCACTAATGGTACGTACTAGTTCAACTAGGACTGCACATATACGTATATGGCATCTGTAAATGAGTACTCGATGTAATTAAATCGCCTGTGTATCAGCACCACTATCAGCGATTATTAAGAAGATATTTCAAAAAAAGAGAAGTTGCCANTCTATTAATATTTCCTCAATTTAAAATTTTGACTTTGAATAATTACATTTGTGGTAGGTAAAGTGCTGTTGAAACCATGGGAGACCGAAAGTAATTGTTGTCATCAACAACTAGTTTCAATCAGAGCTGGTTTAGTACGACCGGTTACCGAAATAGACCGGTTATCGGTGGACGGTGAACCGGTGATTCACCGTCACCGTTGCATCTCTACTAATATCCACTCTGGTAACTAGCCAGACGCTTTAACCAACTAAACTATCGAGACCCAATCTACATTCATATTCAATTCGATGTGAACATACATTTAATCTTTTCGAGTAATTTACGATTAGAGGCTCCTTCGTTCGGAGACTAACTCTAGCCGACCTCTTCGAGCGAGAGTTTGAATTTGCCTGTCTTTTTGCCGTGAGATATGAATTATATATACATTTATATATATATATATATATATACAATGTCAACAGTTAAATCTTATATGACTATTGAAGGAAAGAATGACTTTCCCGTTCTATTTCTTCGTCGTAATGCAACAGAATTTGATCATTATTCAAATCTTAACTTTGATTTTGAAATAACTCTCATTCTTTGTCTCTGTAGTCGTCAGAAATTGTTTTTAAGGAAGTATCACCTTCTGTGTTTCTTGTTTGTACTTTGATCTTGAGCGAAATCTGAATATGATGAATCATCATTTCTAAAAACTTCTCTCCTTTAGTCTCCTACGAATGTTTTTTCAAATTATTCCGAATCAGATCAATTTTTTCCTAAACGGCACATATCAGTTATGAAAATTGGTGTGGAAAGCAGTGCCGACGGTGAAATGATAAATCGTCTAAAGATATAGTGCATCAGATAGTGTGTGTATTGAGTGTGGGGCCTAGCTAGGGTGTAGGTGTAGGGTAAGGTTAATAGACCTGTTTCATTGGCAGCCTCAAAATGCTACGTATAATAAACTCTTGTCAGAAGCATATCCAAGAGTTTAGGATATCAATATACCTTGTCATATACCCTTCAGAAGGGTTTGGGAAAAACTTATTATGGGCCGAAATTCATGCGTTTATATGAAATGCTGGAACAAATTCAAATGAACGAATACATTTATTTGATTTTATCCGTACTTTTATTAAACAAGTTGTTCGATCAAATGTAAACCAAATAATAAATCAACCCTAAGTCGTACAACAATATACACTTCTCCTTAAATTTTGGTGAAATAAACTCTTCAGAAAAATAACCTTTTTGGGATATAGTATTCTATATTTTTTTTACACTGCAGCCACACATCCTCGTGAAACGTGAAAATCTTCTTTTCATCAGATGAAAGTAAAACAATTTTTCTAGATAAATTCAGAACTTGTTAGATTTGATAAAAGATCATTTTTATTTATAGTGCATTGAAGAAAAAAACAAAAATAAAATTATACACATTAAAAAGAAAAGAATATTTTTGAAGGTGTGGGTGAAGAGAAGATCTTCACCCACATACCCACATACCCACACACTAGAGCTCAACGGTTCCCGAAAAAAGGAACCGAGAACCGAACCAAGAACCGATTTTTCAAGATTCTGTTACCCGGAGCCGGAACCGGAACCGTTGAAAACTTGATATTTTTTACTGATAACTAGAGTCAAGTATGATTTATAATTTTCGTAACTTCAATTACTCTAGTAAGTTTTCCATCCACGTATTACTTTGAATTCCCATCGTATCACAAAAAGAAAAACAAAGAATAATTTTCTATGATAAACATAGATGTGAATAATCCTTTATTTTTTACATTTAATTTTTTTACATTTTAGTATCCTATATTATTGACCAGAAAAACGTACTGTTGTTAAAATGTTCAATGGTTTATTGAAAAAAAGCGAAGAAGATATTTTTATTTGCGATGACGATCAGGACGATACAGAGAACGACGCATTTTAGTGTTAATTAATTAACTGATAAATATTTTTATGTGAACATATTGTTCTATAGTGATTTTCTTATTTGCTTTTTTGCTTTGTTTTTTGAAAAACAGCTGATTTTTCAAGGAAAAAAAATTACATTTACACTTTTTAAATATGAAAGATGCATTATATATAAAAAAAATCATCAACTTCATACCTTATTGTTAAAAAACGGTTCGAAAGATTTTTTAAGAACCAAAGTCAGAACCGTTTTTTTCAATTCTTAGGAACCGGGAACGGAACCGCGATTCCGGTACTGGGTATCGGGTAGAACCGCTGGGCTCTACCACACCCTCACA